TATAGTGTAAGTTCCTAGCATTTGTTACTCTTTCTAAGGCACTCTCTCATTTAGGTTCCCAGCAGCATCCCTTTGCATTTTAGTTCTCTTTTTTTTTTGGTGTTCTTCTAGAACTTACAGGCAGTAGGTTCTTAATAAATGTTGTTAGCTGATTTTCTGTTCCTGAAACAACCTCAAAGAAGGAAGGTGTTAGAAAATGAATAACCATGCTGTCAATAGTCAGGAAACCATACTGTTTAGTGTCCTGTGTGTCAAAGCAGTGTCAGAGGAGAGAGTAAGGCAAAGTGATCATCTTTGATGGGCTCACAGTTCAGACAGACCACCCCACCATAGTTTCCCGTATAATCTCCTGGACCATGAAATAGTGGCTTTAGGTCAACAGGAGCTTTGGCCCAACTGTAGGTATTTACCATTCAGGACATATGAGTAGATATTCCTCAGCAGGACCAAAGGAGAAAAGCTCCTGTCTGCTTCCTGTCTCTGCAATGAATTGGTGCTTAATGTGGCACTTACTTCCTGGGGCTGAAATAAAGTAAAAAATTTTAAGTGGTAACCCACAATCACCCACATCTGAAATAGCCGTTCTGATTCCAGTTCCGAAGCAGCAGTGTACTCAGCAAGGCAGGGGGTGGAGAGGGGGCGGGCAGTGAAATGCGAGCCGTCATAGTGCCCAGTTTCTACTTCTTGCTTAATGCATCTCAGCACAGTGCTGCCTTCACCCTTCTTTCTAAAATGGCCTTTTTTATAAAAGTAAAAAATAAGGCATTGTGAGATTTAAAAGGAAAAATGCTGATCTCTAGGCTGCTTCCAATTCAAGTGCCCCCCTCCCCGAAGTAAAGAAACTTTGAAATACACAAAATACTCAATGTACACAGGACTCTTACTAATTTCATTTTACTTTTTTTTTATCATTCTCTGATTCTGATCTTCATTATTAATTGGACCAATGCAATAAAATTCTGCTTAAGAAATAGGATAAGACATGTAGGTTTTCTCTTTCTCTTTAAGAGGGCCAGAATCCTAGCCCTAGGTCTCCCTGATTGCTTGTTTCTGCTCTTTGACTCCTAGTGGCCACCCCAGCCATTCTCTCAGTTCATTACAGCAGATAATTGTTTGTGTGCCTTCCTCAGGTCCCAGAGGAGCCGCCAGGCAGCAGGGTGGCAGTTCTCTGTGCTTGAGTTAATTTAACAACAGATTTTCCTGTAGATCCAGAAAGCATAGTACTGAGTTCCTTACTCTTGGCTCAGCACCGAGCTGGTTATTATGAACAAAAGGCTTCCTTCAAGGAGTTTATAATCTTGTTAGTGAGCCAAAACCAACATGAACGTGCTATAAAACAGTTCAGGATAGTATGTCAGATGCCATGCATGCATGAGGAGCCCAGGGGCAGCCTAGAGGAGCAGCAAAGGAGTGGGGGCCTTGTTTCGCAGCTCCGTCCCCCCTGACTGTGGCTGCACAAGAGGGAAGCTCCCAGTGGAAGATTAAGGAAAGGAGCATGGGATGGGGCTGTGCTGAGCTGATGGATGATCACAGCCTCACCTCTGTGTCACCTCTTTCCTTTTATCAATTGTCATAATGTGTGAAATGAGAGGAGACCCTTTGTTTGCAAACACAGTGTACGCCCAGCCTATCATCAGCAAAGCCAGGCCTGACCTGCTGAGAAGCCACTTCATCCCAACCCTGGAAAAGCTGAAAAAAAAGGCCGTCAAAACCGTGCAGGAGGAGGAGCAGCTGAAAGCCGACACCAAAGGGGACACTCAGGAGGCCGAGCTCCTCATCTTGGATGAGTTCGCAGTCCTCTGCAGAGACCTCTACGCCTTCTACCCCATGCTGATCCGCTACGTGGACAACAACAGGTATGCAGGAGCCCCGGGCAGCCTGTCCGCAGGATGGGAAGACAGGGCTGGGTTGTATTGCTTGTGAGAGAGGGGTCACAGTCGCCACGACCAGCCCAACACCCGTCCTCGGCATGGGACCTCTGGGCAGCTCAGCCCTTGGCCAGTGATCTGTGGTCAGTGGCATAGCCATCCCTTCTGTCCTCACAGGCTGCCGCAGGCGAGGGGTGGTCATCAGGGACAGCAGTGACCCACTTTGGCCCCTGGCTGTTCTGTCACACACCCATTCAACAGATATTACTGACAGTGTGTCAGACTCTGTTCTAGGCATTGGGGGACAGAAGTGAACAAGAGAAAGATGGCTTGCCTAGGGACCTTTCTTTCTGGCAGCAGAACAGGGTGCACTGACAATAGACAGAGTGAGTACTTAGGTACTTACATATACTTAAATGGAATGTTACTGAGAAGATAGCATTTGAGCCAAAAATCTGAGGATTTGAGGTCAGGAACCACACAGCCTGGGGAAACTGTTCCAGGAAGAGGGAACATCTGGTGCCAGCCCTGAGAATGGGTGTGTTTGTGAAGTGCCAGGGAGCCCAAGGAGGGGCCGGTACAGCCGGTGACCCCCACAGATCATTACCTCTAAACCCAGGCTTCATCCCCACCTACAGCCTTGCTTTTCCCAACTGTCTTTTGGCCATGCAGATGATAAAAAAAACCCACAGATTGGTCAAGTACCTCCCAAAGGATGTCTGAATATTGAGAGAGATATGAATTCTGTGAGAGACTGGGAGCAAGGATATTAGCCTGATTGCATCATTTTGGGGTAGAAAGAATATGGGCAAACAGGAAAGACGGACTGGGGATCTTCTGTTGTCCTACAAATACCATCTTAATCTGGTTTGAGAGAGGTACAGAGAGTTTGTATGCCTGGGGAAAACAGTGAATGAGACATTCTTTTTTCACACCCACCACTCTGAACCCAAAGAACAGACCTTACTAGAGATAAAGAATACAGATTCACGTCCTAGAAGAAGGGTATTGAAAACAAAACTCTGGCTGAAACTGCATTCCCCTATGAAGGCAAAGGTGTCAGAACCATGTTCTTTCTCTGAGGACATGTTTACTCAAGATTTTGTTCTCAGTGTGTCCACTGCTCATGCTCCCTGTGGCTCTATTTTCCTTGGCAGGGTAGGATGTGACTCGTCACCTCTTCCCACTCACGGTGTAGTGGGAATCTGCAGAGCTCATTTAAACCACAATACTGAAGAATGAACAGCTGGCAGTTCTGATACAACTTGACACTTGACCCTGAAAAAAAGCACTCCTGACAAATCAATATGAAAGAAATCAAAAAGCATTACCAGTCTCAAATCTCAGTTTGGATTGCATTTGGCTGCTTAGTAATGGATACCCGATTTTAGTGGTGTAAAGACGTTAGAACTTAAACCTCACCCATAAAACAAGTTCAGAGATATCCAGTCCAGGGCCAGTATGAGGATCCTCACTAATGACCCTCATTCCTTTGTCTTTCCATCCTTAACACTGGCTTCCATCTTGGAAGTTATTTTATGAAGCAATATGCCAATTAGAGTTCGGCTGTTATATTTTTGTTCCAGGTGAGACATGAAGGCAATGCGGAAGACCAAAAGGCACCTTCAGCTATCTGATCTCTTTTTTTTTAGTCAGCTTTTCCAGAAGGCACATCCTACAACTTCCACTTGCATCTCATTGATCAGAGCTTTGTTAATGACTATACCTCTAGGAGGCTGAGCAATGTGATCTTTAGCAGGACACGATGCCACCCTGAGTAAAACAGGGCTTTGTTCCTAAGGAGGAAGAGGAGAATAAATATTGGGTAAGACAACCTATAGTTTCAACCATTTAAAGGAGAGGCTAGTTGAGGTAGAAAACAAGAAAGATGAGACAACAATGTCCATGAGACAGGAACTCAGGGCAGTAAGGAATTGAGGGGTGAAGGAGGGACTCAAAGGCAGTCCTGGTCTCATGAGTCTCACCTTCTTCCTTTGCCAGGTGCTCTCCATGACTGGGCAGGAGGCACAGGCTGCCCAAGCAGTTATGTCTGATGTCCCAGGGCTTAGGGACCTGGCTTTTGATAGGTTTACCCTACATGCATCAGGGGACATTGGGTTTTTCAGACCATTTGTGAGAGCCAAAGTTTTCTTTAACATTAAGAAAGATGATAGACAGTTTAACTTGTACTGTGTCACTCCATGCAGGTATTTGAAAATGACAACTCACCTTAGCCCTTTCAAAATAGAATGTAATTCAAATGTGTAAGATACTCAGGGACAAGGCAACTTGTAAGAAATGACTGAATTCTACTCCAATTTAACCTCCTTGCTGCCACCGTGAAATATCTTAACCTGACCTTGTTTTGAAAATAAAACAGAGTAAGCCATTTATAGGGAATTTCCAGACCCCTTCCTAAGGCATAGGAGATGTTCACTCTCTACCCACACACTTCAAATAGCAGGAAAAACATATTGTCTTACAAATTTCATTCATAAAACTGGCTTTGAAAGGAAAAGCAATGAGGCCTGAACTGTTTACAGAGTGCTTCACATTTCAGAGGCTTGATGGTGACAAGTCTATGACAATATTAGGTACAGTGGCCAAGACTCTCCCGGTCTTGCTAGGCTTACAGACTTAAGAAGGCCTGTCTCAGAGCTTAGAGCGCATCCTGATCGCCTCCTCAGACCTACCTTTGACAATTTAAAAATGTTAATTTCTGACACCTGTTTGCTAAGATCATCTTTGAATCCTTTGGTAAAATAAAAATGGTTACTTTAGATCCTTGAAAAACATCTACGGTTAACACTGTAAGCATGTAAGGCGTGTGTTAATAATTAGGGTCTCAGAAGATTGCCTTCATGTGGGAAAGCAGTTTTATCAGGCTAAATATGTGTATCCAGTGTCACTCTAATTTTTAGAGTATGACTATTTTACTCATTACTGAGTTTCAAATGCATCTTCATTTACTTCTCAACACAGATCTAACTGGCTCAAAAGCCCTGACGCTGATTCTGACCAGCTCTTCCGCATGGTGGCAGAGGTCTTCATCTTGTGGTGTAAATCTCATGTAAGAACACATGGGGGCCTTCGATTTAGACACAGCTGTTGAAAGGTACAGACCTCACAAAGTTTTCTTACAATATGTGCTTTTTTATTTCCCCCCATTTAGAACTTCAAGAGGGAAGAGCAAAATTTTGTGATTCAGAATGAAATTAATAATCTGGCATTTTTAACTGGAGACAGCAAAAGCAAGATGTCAAAAGTAAGTCCTTAGAAATCAGTTCCTAAGACTCTTCAGCCTTGACGTAAATTAAGTATTTAGGATGTATGAAGGGATCACCTCTGACTGTGTTTCAGTCAGGCCACAAAAACCAACAGTCACTACTGTTGTTTCTTTGAGAATGAGCCGGAAGAAACTGCTCTTGAATTAGCATGGTCATCACATTTTATGGATAAATAGTTGCTTGTAGGTCAAAAAGTGTAAGTTTCAAGAATTGGCTAAGGCATTCCAGAGGTCTCCTAAAAACAAAAGCTGCCATTAGTTATTTTAAAATAGAAGTACTTCCAGTGTAGTAAAGCTACAAAATACACTTGCCTAGAGCCACCTTTTGATTAGCTATGGGGAAATTACCTTGCTCTGAAGATGTCATTAGCACATATTCTTATGGTATACCTGTTTTCCTCCTATCTGAAACATCTGATAGCTGTTTTATTTCAGTTGTGCTAACCTCTTAATGCCTCTGTTTATTTTCCATGGGAGTTGCATTCAGAAATACAAACATTTGTTCATTTCCCTGCAGGTGATGTTTGAAAGAGGGCATACTGGACATCTGTCTGAAAAAAAGAGTAACGTATAGGGAGGAGTGTAATAGGAGTGCAGGAGGGGGAATTGGCCTCCCAGGTCCTTCTGAGTCAACTCTGCACAGTGAGGCTTTGCTATTTTGATAGGAGAGAATTCTCAGACACACTCATTCAGGTGTACATACAAAAGCAAGGTTTACTTAAATGTGATGTTTGTTACCAGCTGTTATGGCTTACCCTTGACTCTGTTCCCTTGAGAAGTGTGCCTCAATGAGGGTTGACTGTATATGTCAAGTATAAGTGACATGTGATACCTGAGATGTGCATCTCTTTCATTGGTGCCTTTGAGGAACATGAAGGTGGAGTCTGCATGGGGACCCCTTAGAAGTGAGACTCAGTTCTGGAAAGATGACAATCATGGGTTTATAGCAAAGCCTTGTGGCATCTTTCCAAGCAGCACTAGGGATGGAAGAGCTGTGTATGTGTAGAGCTGCAAACAGGGCTGGTATAACAACAAATGTGAGAACCTCAGCTCCCGAAGCATCACCAGGCATGGCCAGCTCTGGTCAGCTGCGGTCACTCTGAACTTGCCAACCCCTCCATCTTATAGCTCTGTTGATATCAACACTTCTCCCAGCATCCAAAAATTGGCTCTTAGAGTTTAGAATCTGGTACACTCTGCTTAATAAGGTTTGATAAGTAGTCTGCCCACAAAGTAGATCAGAAATATATGTTCACATTCAAGAGGAATCTTTGCTGCAAAGGAACCTTACTTAGGATGGATCTTTTTGTGCTTTAGGTAATTTTTATATGATTTTCCAAAATTCATTTTTCATTCAACTTTTGGCAAACACATCTGCTCGTGTGAGGTACCCAAGACAGGATTTTTCAGAGTCCTGATCCCTGGAAATTTATCTTGAGTTCCCTCTTCTTACAAGCCATCTTACAGCTATCAGGAGGCTCTCCTTTGACCTCATCCACCTATAGAAAGTCAGGCAGATCCCACGCTGCCCTCAGTTTGGGGCAGATACATATTGGCTCAGGCCTGAGCTGGTCACCAGCCATTGCTGTTGCCAGCAGACAGCAGCAAAGCAATGGGATGATTCTGCTCTAAGGATTTGGATCCCAAGTAAGCAGAAATGGCAGATACCTCAACGCCTGCTAATGAGTGGATGCTCAGGGTCCTTGGGTTTACACTTGGGAAGAGGCAAGGTGACAGAGAATGACATTTCAAAACTAACCTACTAACAAACTAACCTGAAGTTTTGTTCATTCATATCACTGAATGAGGAAGAGGTTATGTGTGTCTTGTCAAAGGATGGTCATATTCAGAATCTGTGCATATTCCCTGTTGGTAAGATTAGTCTGCACGAGCAAATGCTTTCCATTGAGATTGTATGCCAATTTTTTCTGAGCTACATGAGAAGGGGTCCAAGTTACAGTGTAAGGGACATGAGAGGACTTGACCTACATGTTAAACAGCGTTTGCCATGCTCCTCAGGGTAACAAACAGATTGTTCGTGTTGCCTCAGTTGAGACACAAAGTATAGTAGTAAACAGGACTCAAGACTGGAGGGAAGCTAAGTCCCACCCTTAGCCCAATATTTGACTAGAAGCATGGCCTTGCATCATTCACTTAACTCTTCTGGGCCCCAGTTTACCAATCTGTAAAATGGGCTGGAGCTTACTACCTGACTCCTCCCGGCTCTACTGGGATGCTTTGTTTAAAAGTCAGTTTTCAACTGCATCTCTAGGATAAAGATAAATGTAGTGCATTATTTCAGACAGAGAGATACCATGCCTCCAATAAACAGTAACTCACAGCCATTTCTGGCACTGTTTGGATGTAGAACTACATACAGAGAGGAAGAGAGGTGGAGTTCTTTCCTGTTATCAGTTAAATCCGCATTGCCTTTGTCTCCCTGAAATTAGATGGTCTCTCTACTACCTGATCTGAATGGTCACCTGCCACCTGTGCTTGCTTTTATCTCCACTCTTAATTGAATCCTGGTGATGTATAAAGGAAATTGGCCTCAGTGCATGTGATGGTCATTGCAGAGATAAGTGTACTGGAATGATACATGCCCACACACTACACATGCCATTACGAATGGAAAGGAAGCAGGGGGGTGAATATACAGTGGGCCACACAAAAAAGTATACAATGCGTACTTCATTAATTGAAGGCTGGTTCAACTGTGTGTTGTTCCTCCAGCCACTGAAGCAGACTCTTTGGAGAGCTCATTGTGTGTTTTGTTTATATTACACCAGTCTGCAAATATATGTTAGGCTAAATGTGACTAAGCTGAGCAAGTGTTTTTGTTCTGTTTTGAAATTTGTTTTGATTTCTGGAAAAATGGCAGCAGCTACCTCAGAGGGGAATGGTAAGTTAGAACATGTATAGCCCAAGAAATGCCAGTTCCTTGACCAAGATTATAAATAATAAAAGAGTTGCAATGCAAGAAATATTAGAGTGCCTCCTTGTTGAAAGCTACGCACCCCATCAGTGTGACATCAACGTAATGAGAAAGGACAGGGCAGTTAGAGGAGACCTTTAAGTTTGCTGAGGGCATTCAGAACTACATGCACGGGTTTGCCTTTTCCCAGGCTCCCCTGGTGCTCCCTCTCTCTCCTTCCTGCCCTCCCCACCCCCACCCCCCAGCCTTTATTCGCTTTTATTTCTATCCCCTTTGCTCTGGCACTGGTGCAGCTCCAGTGCCCTCTCCCTCTGCCTCTCCCTCCCCTTTCTCCCCAACTTTCCCCCTCTGCCTTTCTCCATCTCTCTATCTCCCCCTCTCTCCCTCCCTCTTCCACCTTCCCTCCCTTCTCCCCCTGCCCTCCTTCCTTCTTTCATGCTCTCTCTCTCATTTTCTCATTCTCAGACTAGTTTCCACAAATCCCCCTTCCTCTCTCATGTTTACTTTGGGTTGGCTTGGCTTTACTTCCCTCACCCTGTCAGTGGGGGTAAGAACCTCACGTGGGGCGGGATCACCCTCATACAGAAGCCTGTCCCTGGGCTGTCTCAGTGGGACGCCCCACCCACCATGTCGAGTGTCCTTCTCTGAGGGTTTTTCCTTAAGTTCACACACAAAACCACACAAAAAATCACTTTAAGCATAAGTACTTGTGAAAAATGTGGGGAAATGAAATTATTCTGAAGGTGTAAGAATTCAGAAATTTCTTTTTGGAAAATAAAGTTTTGGGCAACTCAAAAAAAAAGGCATTTCCAGCATTAGGGAAATGCATTGAGTTACCTGATCTTAGGAATATGTGAAGAAAACAATGAAATTAGAACCTGTAGTGTGTAGGAGCCTCTGACCCGAGGTATATTTAAAGGTCACAGCACAAGAAGGGAGGTGCTCCATCCTCCAGGCTACAGGATAATCTTGAATCACCTTGGATATTCCTAGAGTTCTTTTTTTTTTTTTTAGCAAACTTTTGTTTAGTGGAAGTACACATATTGCCACTTAGCTCTGCTCTCCCTCCCTTCTCTTTCTGTAACCACAGACCTTCTGGAGATGATAATGTGGTGGGTGAAAGGAAAGAAGGAAATTGGGGTCTTTGGTTACATGACAGACTGTCTGCAGCCCACCCAGGGGAAAGGAGAGAAGTGGGAGGGGAAGCCTTAGATCTAAAGAGTCGTGTGGGTGGTCAGATCTGAAGATTTCCAGGGTCTGAAGGTCACACTCTGGAAGGTTGGTCTCTGAGATGGCCTCCCCCATGGGGTGCACTGGGTGTAAGTCTTTCTGACCAAATTAACCTTCATTAACCTCCTAAACCCCTACTTGCTCTTCCTGCCATGCTCAACTGGCTTCCAGTAGTTTCTGTTGTGTTTGCTGAGAAGCAGGAGCTAACAACCTATGACTAACATGTGATACCTTATGCTGTGGACCCCTGCTTTTACTGACTGACTCTTCTCCTTGTTTCTTTTCTTTTGTCTTTCCACACAGGCCATGCAAGTAAAGGTACAGGTCAAATGCATGATGTGTCTTTTGTGCCCTAGTATTAGAGTTGCCAGGCTCTGGCCACCCTCTGCACTATGATCACCACGGGGGTGGTACAGAGTGGATTTTCCCACCTGGAGGTCCCCCAGGCCTGCTCCAGGGAAGACAACTGCCTGTCAAAGAGTGAATATAGGCCTACCCACCCTTGGAATGGGGAAGCTGGGGAAGCCAGCCAAGCCTCGCCCTACCCAAGGTCTCCTTGCTATCTCTGCCACCTCCCCCAGCTGCCCACTCTGCAGCCAGCACAGTGAACAGAGATAGGGACGCTGACGTGGCCTGAGAGCCAGCGAGAGTCACGCTCTTCTCTGCCACATGGGTTCAGAATCTTATTAGCTGGCAGTGGTTCCGGCCCTTTCACTCTTTAGTTTCTGCCTCCTGAGCAAGGCTTCCGTGTGTCAGAGAGCTTCCCAAGGACTTAACTATAGGATTTGAAATTGGCAAATAACCATAAGTTTTTGCATAAAATGTGCATATGGTGGAATAAACCCTGGAACAGTTTGTAGCTGTTAATACAGGTTATTACTTGGAAATATTTCTCTCTGTTCATTAATGTGTGTCTACTGCCACGTGTCTCTCTGCCCTAAAGCATGTGGCTGAGACAGGGCATGTGCAGCTTGTAGTGAGACAGGGAAAAGGGAGCCATGGCCAGGCAGACATGGGTCTGGATGTTGGTTCAGACACTTGGCTGTTGTGTGCTTTGGAAAAATCACTTCC